TTCAAATAAATTTACATTTCCGTGCTCGGATCCTGTCATTAGAAATTTGACTGATTTTTTAAAATTTTCTCTTCGTAAAAGAAACTCTAAAGAGTTTTCGAATGCCTGACTCTTGTAGTAAAATACCATTTTGGGGAACTCATAAAATGACATTGTAAAATATATATTGTCTCATGTTTTGAGATTAAGTATTATTATAAATCCGAGAAATATTCGAATTCATGTTTGATCTTTCATTTCTGTCAGTTTTCATGTCCAATTCTACCAATGTATCCGGCAATGCAGGAATGAAATCTCTTTTTTAATTCACCAATGACACATCCTCAGTACAACTCCCCCTCTGAGTGAATGTTTTAGAAAATCTTATAGGCTTCGATAAACTCAGGCGGTATTATATCTCACACACACACACACACACACACACACACACACACACACACACACACACACACACACACACATATATATATATATATATATACGAAATACATATGCATGCATTCGATCATATATGTATATATAAAGTTGTACTAGCACAAATTTAAAGACATATATATATATATATTTATATATAAACGCACATATGCACTATACACACATGATAAAGTTATAAATACGTGCATCTTATTAAACAAGTAAATTCGTTTGTGTTCACATATGAAAGATTTCACATATAAAGATGGTCGGTCAAGATAACGTATTTGAACGACTTGGACGCGGCGAGTCTATTATTTCTCTCTTTCTCGAATACTATCCTTTAGGGCCTTCATCTTCCAACACAAAGTAGACACATGACAAAATGAATTGTTCGACCGTCTTTCAATGCATTCCCACAACGCTTTGAATTTCAATTCCATCTTGTGCAACATTGCAACTGAGACTTCCCCAAACGACAAGAAATCTTCGACGCATCATCTTGGTCTCTCTTTTCTCTGCATACTTATATCATTCTTAAGTTAGATTTAGCTTGAGTTTTAGCTTTCTTTTATATACATCTCATCTCGCTCTCTTTCTTGCCCTCCCTTAATGAACTGCATAGATATTTCTTCAAATTAAAGTTAGTTACATTTGTCAGGTTGATACACACACACACACACACACACACACACACACACACACACACACACACACACACACAGAGATGCTTGAACGCAATCTTCACACCAAGGCCTGAAGACATTTACATAGGCTCTATCCCGAATATTGAGTACTTCTACTCTATAAATCCTTAAAACTATATTTTATCAAACACGCGTGCGCACTCATATACTTATATATATATATATATATATGTGTGTGTGTGTGTGTGTGTGCACGTGTGTGTGTATTTAACATGAAGCCAGTCACTTTCTTTTTTTTATTTTCTCGATAAGTTTACTTCTTCCTCGTTGAATTTTTCATTCAATTTTCCCTACTCCACATTATTTAATCCATATATTTTTTATATTTCTTATCAACAAAAATTCAGATATTTTTCTTGGTGCTTTATGAGCGCCAAAGAACCGAGAAAAATGTCTGGAAGTGGTGCAATTAGCAAAAAGAACAGAAACTATCCAGAAGACAGCACTACTAAAAAATAGCTAGGAAAATTCTGGAGTATTGAAAAGATTTATTGCTAGTCCTTAACCTAAAAACACCGGGTATGAACAGTAAATACATAGAAAAAGAAGACAATGATGATCAATAGTAATGAAATGAGAAAATTATGGTCGTTTAATTAAAATTAAAGATTACTAAAATGCCAGATTTGATGGCGGTCAACTACTCTTAAGGTCTGTGAATAGCACGTTTTCATTCATTGCAAAGTAGGGCATCAGAACAATAGTTGCTTTTTTTCTGCGATTTTTTAATTGTTTTTACTGACCACTTCACTTAGCGTCAGAAGTTAGTTAAAGACAGCATTTTCTTCGCGAAATATTTGGTCATGACTTCCGGTGCTTCCCGGCCATTGGGCAATCATGCGCTTGTCACAGTCGAGACACGACAGAGTCACAGTAACTTTAATTCTGCAATTAGAGAAAGAACAGATATTGAGAAATACGGCTCAGATTGGTATACAAAGTATGATTTACAAAGATGGCGAAATATGAAGTTACGTACATACATAGATATATACATAAGATATTCACAAACTCTTGTTTTTCACAAAAAGCATGCTATTGGAAACATATGCTCAGCAATTTGTTCGTTTGTATTATTTCTATCTCTTAATTTTTATTTCTATTTGACCTTTAATTTTATGTTTCTCATCTACAAGTAATACAAAAAGTCATATTTCTTCTCACTCATCTTTCTATTTTTTTTTACTAAATCTTATCCAATATAAGGCTCGAGTGTCACTCATGTGGGACTTTCGATTTTCTTCAGGTGTATACTGCATTAAATAATTCTTAATTTTTTCACTTTCAAACTTTACTTTATTCAAGTAAATGCGATTAATCTAGTTCTACACTCTGAAGACAATTTTTTAAATATCACCTAATACAAGGCTAAAGAGTCACAGTCGAATTGATAAGGATGAATGAGGTGTGTGATGAAGAGGAAGTGGTAGGAAGTGGCGTTTATAAGGAGCGGGAGATTGACGATTGACGTTAAGATTGGATTGAAGTGTTCAGGGAAGAAACCCCGCGAGGGTCTGTTCCACAAAATGTCAGTTCTTGGGAAAAAGTGTGGAACTTTTATCTTACATATGGAACACATTTAGATGATTCGACTCCGTGGTAGTGGTATGATGTATCCTAGAAGCAAAGGTTTGAATTGGTGGAACCTGAACAATTGCTATGGTGATAGAACATCGACAGATTTGCAAATTTGTATTTGTGGAAAAAAAAGTTTGGAGAGTGGCAAATAACACTTGCCTCATAAGAGTGCGTAAAAGGAGGATTGAGTAGTTCTAACCAAGATAAGACAAAAATACTACATCTTTGCGCAGATACGCTCATCTTAGGCAAAATGCCGATCGATACGTAAATAATACCGGCATTTTTGTCGGATGTTTTTCTCTTTCTCTCTCTCTCTCTCTCTCTCTCTCTCTCTCTCTCTCTCATATATATATATATATATTCAGAACCTATGGCATTGCTGTGGTCTATGAGGATAACGAAAAAGTTACTAGAGATTTGGCTGTCATTTTATCTCCAGCGATATCTACCAGATATGAATAAAGTAATAATAACAATAATATGAATGCAACATTTGTGTCCATCATTACTGGCACACTTGGAAAATTTTCAAAGAGATTTGCAAGTCAACTGAAAGAATTAGAATTTCATTTCGAAAAAAGAATAAATATTTTCCAGATAACAGCATTACTAAAATCAATTAGATTAGTGAGGAAAGCACTTGAATTTTCAGAAGACATGCTGTCACTTAACTTATCATAATCATTGGGTTGAAATAATGACCAAAACTATAAGGAAAATAAGTTGATAATCAACGCCTACAAAAGGGGGAAAACTGCATTAACAATAACAATTACCGCCCTTAAATAGTGACCTTATCAATGTCCTAGATAATTCAAATGGTAGTTGTCCTGGTCAAATCTTAAATACAAGGTCAGCAAAGGCGACCTACGTACATCTAAGCATTATCCTTGATTCTTCTTCACGTAAGCCTTTCCTTCTTTTAATCGTATTTTTATATTTTGGGATAGTCGCATTTTCTCAGAATTGTTTTGAAGTGGTTGCAATTCAAGACTTGAGTAGTACAAGTACCTTCGTTGAATCTTGCACAATGTTAACTTGTTGGTAATAAGATATCATATCTCTCTCTTTCTTAGATAGACGCACATACACATAGAAGACTGTCAAACATGGCTGCAATAGTTTAAAAAAATGTTGGTGAAAAAGAAGTTTCTACATAAGTACCACATTAGCATGATGATTTGTATGATGCTCCTACCTCAGTAACGAAGTAGGCCTATAGATATAGTTCGTGAATGTAAGCCGATTCCAACAATAAATTACATTACCAAAGCTCTCAATATTTCGACATCTTGACTTTGCTCCTAGCAGACAGGTTCACTGCTTTAAAAACAAGGCTAACACCCAAAAATTTTAGGTTCGTTTTGTAAACTAACAATATGAGCTGATTAAAAATTGAAAAAAATCGAAAAATTTAAATTATTTCCCTCGATTTTATTCTTATACTATATATACTGTATAGTGAACAAGTATTTGTGAAGAAAGTCTACAAAAACTACTGAAAGCTTACTATAAACTATTGTAGGTATGTCCAGTACTTTTTCATCAGGATATGCTGCTTTTTAGCGAATTACTCGACATACCTAAACTATTGAAAAGATAGGACAGCTTTGCACTGATTCATATTTTATTTCTCTCGTTATCGAGTAATAAATACTGATTATGATTGACACAAAATTTGCTCCTAAGATTTTTCTATACTGCACGGTGTTCAACCTAACAAACTTTAAAACTCAACCATTGTACAATGGACATGAATAGGTTGATTCCTAAAATCGGACCTAATAGTTTGTTCTTAAAAACTTTTATACAAATGTTTACGATGAATAAATGGATTTATTGGTTGAAGGTAGACTTGCATTTTTTTCTCAAAATATACCGACGCACACAAGTACCCATGTTCTTTCTTTTATACACACACGAAAATGCTCCCCCACCGCCATTTCTTTGCTACTTCTTCTAACAAGACTGAGAGAAGGTTAAGCGACATTTTGAAAGGAGGTAAAATGAATTTAAACAGGCAGTGTGGACAGCAAGTAATGACGGAGGACGCAAGTTTGAAGGCTTCGGCCCAACATGACACTTGGAGTGTTTACTTAAGGGAGACAAGATTGACAGAAGAACGAGAAAAATTGCTAAGCTGGTCGGTTGAACTGGTTGATCACGAACAAGTAATAAAAGAAATCAAGAAAGAAAAAAAAAATTAAAAAGTTAAGGGAAGAGAATGAATGTCGGGAAATGAAATTAGGATAGAAAGTGAAAATCAAGGAAGAAACAGAAAAACAAAGAAAAGAAAATTTAGAAAATGAAGACAGGAGCAGAGAAATGAGATATAAATAAAAATGTAAAAAAATTAAAAAGAAGAACGAAGAGAGGACAAAACGAAATTAAATAATAAGTAAAGAAATTGATGAAGGGATGAAAAAAAGAAAAGAAAATATAAGAAAGAAAAGAATGTATATATAAAAGTGGAAAAAGTGAAAAGAATAACAAGAACGAATAAGTGAAGTGAATGATTGAAAATATTAAGTAGCGTAAGGTGTTGAGTTTAAAACGGACAATAAAAAAAGAGAGAAAATAAGAAATAGTAAATGCAAAAGGAGAATTTATGAAAGAAGAAAAACTCTATAAGGATTAATATAAAGTTGAAAGCGGAAAGAAGAAAAACTAAAAGGAATTTCAAAAAAAGAAAAAGGGAACAAAATACGTAAGTATAGAAAAAAAGAAAATGGTAAGAAGTGAAGAAGAAAATCTGAAAGAAATTAAGAAAAAAGAAATTGATAGACCGGTTTTAATGTTTCTTGGTTCACAGGAAATTTTTCTTTCTTGTACCCTAAAGGGTTATTTTTCTTTTCCTGTTTTATTATAACTGAATCGAGATCAGTTGGTCAGTGGCTATATCTACACCGTTGCTACCATCCACCCACTTCAAATTCGAAGCCCCATCCCCACTGACTTATCACTAGATTTCCTTTGACCTAAAATCCACCGGAAGTTGACCAACTGACAGTACACGTGAATTTTTATGTCGGTTTGACTAAACAGTTACTTAGGGAACTATTGGTAGGAATATAATCATAAAAATATGACTGAGTGTAAGTTGATAAGAGGCGGGTTGAACTGAAATTTACTTTCTTAACTAACAAGTGCAGCACTTTTTATATAATACTGAGTGAAAAGGATTTTTTAAATAGATTATTTTATTTCACTTGTAGTGTTTAAAAAATGTTTCCTGAAACATAACCACATAAAAGTAGCCGACAGATACCAAAGTTCAGATTAAACTCAATCCTAACTAATTTGGAGAAAATTCAGTCAACTAGCATTTTTTATCTTGGCATAAACATATTCTGATCCTTATTTTATTTTGTTATGTCACAGAGACACAGGGAATTGAAGAAAGTAATAAATCAATCATAATTTGTGTTAACGGCTATCACCGTCATGGTACAAAAGTTACAATCGAAGATCAAGTGAAGAATTTTAGCGGATATATATATATATATATATATATATATATATATATAGATAGATAGATAGATAGATAGACAGACAGTGTAACCCGGATATAAGAGAGTTGTCTGGACCGGAGAAGAAGTCTCTTATATCCGGGTTTTGTCTATCTATTTTGTTTAGGTAAGTATGGGAACACTTCATATAACGCTTTTTACGTACAGAACACGAGTTTATTTAACAGTTATAGACATAAAAAGCACAGACAAAAATACATTTTCAATCAGTTTTCAAAATAATTCAATCAAAAATTACTTTTTCTTAAAAAAGTCAGTCATTTTTTATTGTACAGAAATATCTTTGTTAACATCATGAACACTTTCATACAGTCCGTAAATCATTTTCAATGCGCCATCAGGATTACTGCTTTTTGCTTCAAAGTAGGCTGTCAGAGTTTCAAGCGCATTCAATACAGCCAGAGAATTTGGCACTGGTTTGTCACTTTCAGAAACTTCAGAACTTACGCTTTTAGCATCATCATCTTCGTCAAAATCTTGATCATCCGATTTTATACCACGTGTGATGTCCGTGTCAGTCAGTTCTCCATAACATTGTGTACGGTCGTCGAAGCTGATAAATTCGTCAAAATCTGTTTGCTCCATGCCCGATGGTGGAGAAACTTGATCATTTTCGTCGAGTATTTCTTCCAATTCAGCCTGTGATTCAATGACAAAGCCGGCCTTTTTAAAACAATTTTGAATTGTTGACGGTTTGACCATGAAAAATGCTCGCTTCATCATGTGCATGGCCTTCAAAACAGTTATCTGCTTGGCCACCTCGGACAGTTTAGTTAAATTCCGAAAATTATTTGATTTTTATAAAAATTCTAAATCAACATGTTTTTCACCGGTAAAAAAAGGCGCTAAAACACTAGTAATTATTAAATCAACCGCTAACGCAAAGAAAGATTTGAAAGATTCGAACGTGCTAGAAAAGATTATAAAATTTAATAAAAAATACTTTGGTGTTTCCTCTTAATAATAACATAAACATTTTGACGATAAAACCTTCAGATAAAATTAAATTTTCACTAAAAAAGTGGAGGTACCTAAAAGGATTTAATTTGTAACTTTCCTTCTTTATATATCTCTATCTATATATTTATCTCTCCCTCTCTCTCACCATAGAAAACAGAATTAAAATGTTTTACTTCATGAGATTGCTAAAAAAGAGCATAGTTTGATGAAAATGACGCCAAACTTGACGAAAACAAAATTTTATCGTCTAAATGTTTATATTATTATTAAGAGGAAAGACCAAAGTGTGTTTAAATTATTTAAAAAATTTTTTCCTTCTTTTTAGAACATTCTAAATTTTGATTAAAAAACCATATTTCTCTTTGTATCACCGGAACTAGTAAAATAACATATACAATTTTTAGCAGTTTTTTTTTGTATGACAGACATTAATTTGTAAAATCTTGCAAAAATAAAAATAATTGTCAGATATTAATGAAACTTTCAAAAACTATTCACGAATGATTAAAATTATTATAACTATGTTTTCTTTTTTTAAAGTCATCGCAAAAATATTTTTTTTATATTTATTACCCCCGCCCATAACTAATTTTATGAAAACTCTAGAAATTCAGCATTGTTCAGTTTAGTGGTTATATTAGTTAAAAGCACAAGGCTTTGAGGAAAACAAATCATTTTTTTAATTGGACCCCCCCCCTGCCTGAAAATCATCTCTGAATTGTAACATACAAAACTCAATAAAACAAAGATATTATTTAATTTCAAATGTTTTTAGTTGTTTTTATGAATATGGACAATATTTTCTGAAAGCAAAAATCTTTGTCGATGAAAAATGAATTTTTAATACAATTATTTGTTATTTCTTTAATTATTTTAAATTTTTACATTTAAGTTGTGAAAATATTATAAAATTAGTTGAAAGCCGCATTCAGTTTTGTAAATGTCCTTATCTTTTTTACCGCATTGTAAATTGTATAATTTCGATCAATCAGAAGTAATTAAGAAATGTAATTTTGTGTTTATAATACGGCTGTAATTATAAAGTACTGAAGACCAGCAACAATATTTGTTCACCGCTGTTATGACCTTTATTTTTGCGAAACACGCGTGGAGAAGTTAATTTGATTTTTCAATTTCAACTTTATTCTATCTTATTTTTATATTAACCTCAGGTATCACATTTTTCTATAAATGAAATATCAAAATTAATAATAGAATGAATGGAAATACAAATAACACAGTAAAATGTAATAAATGTACATAAAATTATAGTATTTTATGTACACTTCTGATAAATTTTCATAAGAAAGATAAATTAATTAGATACCTTTCTTATGAAATTTAATCGCACTCTCAACAGTCTTATTTTAATTTTTTTTATAATTTATTTTCCATAAAGCATCGTAAACGTAAAGGTGAAAGCTAATTACAAAAAAAAAAAAAAAAATTAGAGCACTGAAAGTTTTCTTAAAAATAACCAGGTAAATAATTTTGTTCAATTAAATCTAAATAATTATATCACTTATGACCTCCCGTATGATAAATTTTCCTCACGTAAGCTGTCAATACGTGGTGAAATCATCACTCATCACCTGTCAAGAAATGTTATGACCTGCTTTGTTTTATTTTTAAACTACTTCTTTTCGGGGCAGAACCTAAGTAATGCTTGTTTCAAAATATTTTAATTAAAGATTATAATTTCTAATTTTCTTAAAATAAGTTTTTAAAAAAATATAATTGATTTTTAAAAGAATTTGAAATGAGATTTATATTTTTTTTTATAAAATGGAAAATGATTGATTATCTGTCAATTTTTAAAGAAAATTTGGGACGCGCTAGGAACGATTAAAAATGTAAAAAAATAACATAAGCATTTAGACGATAACATTTTGTTTTCATCAAGTTTGGCGTCTTTTTCATCATGCTATGCTCTTTTTTTAGAGATCACATGGAGGTACCTATGACTTACTTTACAAATATCTAAATAGAACATCTGACGTATCTTTTGCCAAAAGAGAGTCTGCCCTAGAGGAAAGAAGTTCATCTCACTCGCCCTTTGGTAGTACCGAATATTCAGTCCTCACAATTTAAGACTAAATCCCAACATTAAAAGTGAACCGTGTGTAGTGTTTGACAAGACAGTACAGGCTCCACTAAAAAGCTTACAGTCATAGATCTGTACAGTTCAGCATCTTAACCACTCGGTTTATCTCTTAAAAGCACAAATCATGTGCCATAGAATAGAAACACGAAGTGTTGCGAAGAAAAAATTAACACAACAAAGGACACGTAAAAATTGTTAAAAAAAAAAAGAACTCAAATATGATTGGGATAATAGGAATAACTGATTTATTAATGTGCATTCCCGCTTGTTACTCAGCTAACCTGTGCTGACAATGTTGCTGATGTCAAGGTAAATTCAGTGACATGTGCACCGACTGACCTCATCTACACTTTCCTAAGTCTTTCTCGTACGCAGTAAATCACACGTTTTCGCTCACAATTTTTTTTAACAATAAATTGCTATGATGTTCACTCGCTTATTCGGTTTGACGATTGTCTGTCTTTTAAAATGAATAAAATGGACGATAAGATTTTCTATGATGAAATAGAGAGAGAAATGCAAGCAGAAGCGAAAGTGGAGGTCCCTAATAAAGAATAACAAGAATGAGAGAAGGAGAAAGACGGGAAAATAATAGAGAGAAAAAATAGAGATTGGAAGAGAGATAACGACGAGAAAGGAGAAAATGGAAGGAGAAAATAAAAAGGCTCTTCCTGACAGAGAAAGACAGAATAAAAACAAGCAAATTAGAAAATAACTTAAGACGAGAAATCTCTAGGAAATGCATTAAATTCCTTAATACAGGTCATCTTCAGTGGTGCAGTGTGCATCATGCTTATCTCACTATTGAGAACATGTTCTTTACTCAGAGTATTTGACAAGAAGATGAACTTTTCCAAAATTAACCTTCACATATCTGATTTCTCATTAATTAAAATTATTTTGTTGATAAATAATTATCTTTTCAAGATCTCTAAAAAATATTTTTGAACAGACGTTTCGCTTGTGTTACAATAGGTGTCAATAGGTGTGTGATAGTTTAGTGGGATTCAAAAGAACAAGTAAAAGACCCCATGAGAGTCAAACACTGCAATAAATTTGGGAGAACAGTTCTTAATCATCACTGGACAAGTCACAGCACCCATATAGAATTTTATTGGATTACCAAAAAAGTTCGGTTTTTTAGACAAATTTTGAACTTTCTACATTTACTTTATTTCTGTCTGTATTTCTGGAATTAGGATTTATCATTATTTACACTATATTCGGACGAATGTTTTTTTTTTTTTAAATCGGTATCATCCCCAAACAAGGCAGTACTGCAACTAACAAGCAATGGTTTACAGGGTATGGATGAATTAGGAACAGAAACATTAGTAATGATTAGAAAGAGAGAAAAAAATCAATCGAGAGAACAGTAGATAGCGATTGACATTACATTTAAACTTTTGCAGATTAAAGCTGGCTGGAAAGCATGGACCAGAAGGGAGTTCCACAGAGGAGAAGTGCGAGAAAAGAAACTGTCAGTACAGAAATTACGGCTACATCTAACTAGCTCAACTATAATTGATGAGATCTCGCCGATAGTCTGGTATTGTACTTAAATTCATACAGTCTAGGTACCATAGCGAAGAGCTCATCCGAACAATTACCATGAAAGTATTTATAAAAAAAGGCAGAGAGAGGCAACCTTATGTCGGTGGACAAGTGAGTGAAGCCGAGCCGCCAGATCAGGACCAATAATATTGCTGATTCTTCTTTGGATCTTATCAAGGAGCTCCAGATAAACAGCAGGGTCACCGGACCATATATGGCAGCAATTTCCTAAGCATGGACGAATGATAGACTTATATGCAAGATAGATTCCAGAGAGAAAAACTGCCTCGCCCGGCACCGTGAACCGACATTCTTAGCAGCTGATGTAACAATGGATTCAATATAGCCTTTCCACTTCATGTCAAAAGGCATAACGAGTCATTTCCTGGAAGATAGCTTCAGATGGATGGCAGAGAGTGATTTCTCAGATGATTACTGGAGAGAAGTTTAGTTTTAGAGGCGTTAAAATTTACAAGCCATCCAGTTAACGACAGTCTTGATATCGTTTTGGGCACCAGCTGCTATTTTGAACTTGTTGGACTGATCAGCCTTACTATCGAGACAGGAGTAAATGGTACTGTCGTTAGTACGAACGGATGTAGATGTGTGGCTGTTCAGGACAATTTTCATTTCACGATTTGATAGGAACGACTGGATCAGCTAAAAAAATGTTCCCGGGGATACAGTAACTCTTTTCAGCTAGTAGAGAATTCCTGTCTAAGGCTTTCGAAATGTCCACTGCTACAGCCCGGTTTGTTTTTATCTAGAGTATGATAGACTCTTTCCGCAATTATCGTTAGCACATCAGCAGTTGACCTGGAAAAACGAAAGCCGTATTGCTTGTTTGAGAAAAGGCTCTGCGCTGAGAGATGATGAACCAACTCAGCATTGATAAAGGCCTCTAGAAGCTTCCCAGAAAGTAGTAGAAGGCTAATATGCTGATAGCTGGATGGGGCGGACGGTTCATCAGAGTTCTTAAAAACTGGAAAAGCAGACGATGACTTCCAGAAAGCAGGAAAACAGGAGGCAGCGAGGCATTTATTATACAGTTTAGAGAGAACAGGATCAAGTTCGGAAGCACACTTCTTAATGAATATTTCAAGGAAACCATCGGACCCATATGCTTTGTAGGGATTCACGTCAGAAATGATAGAATAAACCACAGAAGGGGTTATATGCATATTATTCAACAGAGATTCTAAATGTGAAATTAGGCAGAGTTACTTTATATGAGTCAAGATAGGGTTTGACGAGAATTTATGGGCAAAGCATTCTGCTTTATCAGCGGATGATGATGATACCTCAAACCGACTGAAGAGGTGGGAGGAATAGAGAACTTGCACTTATTTAGTACCCTATTATAGAGACGCCAGTAAACACGAGAGTCAATTTTTAGAAGCTAGGCGGTGCCTCATTCTCTCGGCAATCTGGGACTTAGCTCCTTCAAGGACTCTCTTACATTTGTTACGGGTAGTAGCAAATAGGCCTGTGTTATGACGAGAGCTCTCACGTCGGTATAGCCGGAAATAGTGGTTCCTGTGTGCTATGGCGGCCGAGCATGCTGATGTGAACTATGCAGAGGATTGCAGTTTCCCAGAAGCGATGAAAGCATCCATACCGGCTTTGACCCAAGAAGTAAACTCAGTGGCGCATTCTTCAATTGTGTGGTTGAAAATGTTAGTCCAAGGAGCGTCACGAAGAAGAAACCGGAATGATTCCCACTATAACACTAATTTCAGAATTAAGTTTTCCAAAAACGTCTACGCGGCCTCGTGGGTGATGAATTGTTTTCTCCCTAACAACCTTTTTCTCACAGACGAAGCAGTGTAAGCCTCTCACTACTCTATCGCTATTTCCATAGAAAAGATTCAGACGAGCTACATTCCTTAGTCCCCCTTAACTACTTTTCCAGATCTGCTATGCGCGTACATTGAGTCCAGCTCTACCTTAATTCCCTTCGTATACCTTTAGTAATTTCCACTCAGATAGCTTCTTCTCAAGAAACATAATTCCACAAGGATGTTTTCCAGACCATTACAATTCTCCCTACACGCATGTCACCAATCTGCCATTGGGTAGCATGCCACTAGCATTTGCCGTTGGTGGCCCGCTGTCGGGTTGCCGGTGTGTTCGTCTCGGCAGTGTTACTACAGGTGGACGACTAGAGGCCCGTAGGTGGCCCGCCGGTGGCTGCCACCAGCGGACCACCGACGTTGTCACTAGCGGCTTGGGTGTAAGGAATTTCTTTAAATTAGAGTTAACCGTTATATTTCAAATATATCCTCACAAACTGCGCTCCTTACACTCATCGCTCACACAACAACTGTCTTCCGTAACCTTGTACTTTGAGTGGCTCTTGGGCCCTGTATAGGATTAACATCATCAGTAAAAAATATTTAAAAAATTAAAAAAATGTAGTAGGAATTTCAATGCTAGTGATTTTGCATTGAGCTTCCATTATGGCGAACAAATTACGTCTATGAACTATAACAAAAAAACAGACTGGTTACGGAGACAGGGCCTGTAACAATTTTATGGAACTTTACATTACACTCAGACAGAACAATCAAAGCTAATCGCCCAGACATCGTGATTAGAGAACGCAAAGACAAAACGTGTCTTCTTATTGATATGGCAGTCCCAGCAGACTGTAATATATCTTTGAAATCTTCAGAAAACTATAAAAATAAAAGGAACTTGAAATTGAAATCTCAAAAAATATGGCACATAAGGACACCAACAATTCCAGTTGCAAGTTGGTGCCATCGATTGATTGGATAAGATTTCCATAGACTCACTGAAGGGATTCCTCGTAGCCCATGCCTTACAGAAATGCAAAAATGTTCTCATAAGTACAGCCCACACCTTACGAAGAGCTTTATATCTATGTAAAATATGTGTGATTTTTATTTTAATTGTTTCTTTTTTTTTTCAAAAATTCTCATAAAATATCACGATGCCGTTTCTGGCCTTGGGTCTCTGGTCGGGACCCAGAAAAAATAAGTATATATCAGAAATCAAAGGAAATAAGACAACAACAACAACAACAACAACAACAATAATAATAATAATTATTATTATTATTAGTTAGTAATGTTCTGTTTATTATACCGTCGAATAAACATTTCAATTGTTCTTGTAGGTTATCACCATTTATGAATGAATGTGATTTTGCTGGGATGTCAAAAACGAATATATAAAACAAAATATTTGAACAAGTAGTTATATTATTCAATAGTTCAATCTGTTTAATTTTTACAACACGGATTTTGCATGTAAAGGTGTTCTTGCTTGAATTGATTTTCGTGCACTTTATGAAAAAAATCTTCAAATTTGAATTGTATAATTTGTAACCAAAGAAATAGGTATTTTTAGAGTTCGCGGAAATTAGAACTTGTCGAAAAGTTTAAAAAAATGTTAACAAAAGAAATAAAGTTTAGTCTTGGCCGCTGTAATAGTTGTTAGCGGGTAGTTTCATGTAGCACAGCCGTCTTGCCATGTGCTTAGCTTTTATCGATGTTGCTGGCATTAGTGAGTCGTTTGATGTTCCCGCTGACTTGACATAAAGATGTACTGAAAGTAGTCATGTCGCGTAGACAAGCTGGCAATGGTACTGACTTGATTTTTTCAGACAGGTTTTACTGCGAGTTGATTGATTTATTACTGTATAAGCTTTTCTTTTTATAATCATTAGGAGGATCGTAACTTATTTAAAAAAAAATCCTTCCAGTCAACTGTGATAAAATAAATTTATATCGCATCACATCCTTCTCACTATGTCCGTTGCTAATTTTTTATTTATTTTGTGGCTTCCCCTGAAGCCTAGATTATTTCCTTGATATTATTTCGAACTAATCGCAACGATTGTCTAGCTATATTAAAAATTTACATATTACTACAGTATTTTATGCTGTACAGTATGCATATTTCGCCTCACCCTATAATGGTCTACAATCACTCAAGTGGTATTAGGTCTATATTTCCAGGACATAAGACTATATATACGCTAAGGGAGTTTGAACAGCAATCCACAATTATTTCTGAACAGAATTCTTTGCGAGAGTCATCATTAAAAAAGGTAGAAACTTTAGTGTATGCAATATTTTTCACTCTAGATTTTCTTAACTTTCGGCCCTGATGGATTTAAATTCACAACTATTAGTTTCTATCTTCACTATTTCTGTGTAATAT